AGAATCAGAAGATAAAAGAAGTTCAAAACAGCCCTGTATTGGCAAATTAATCTGAAATACAAAGAAACAGTGCTGAAAAGGGTAAAATGATTATAATAACGAAAGCAAAAACAAATGCATAGAAAAAGAAAAGAAAAACTGACAGTGATAAAGACATGAAAAAAGAAAACCAAAAGCAGATATAAACACAGAAGAGCGAAAATAAAGATGGAGTCACGCATACACCTTCACAAACACAGTAGGGTATGGTGGAGAAAGCAACACCAGATACATCTGCTGACAGATACGGCATGATGGGCAGAATAATGGCCCTAAAAATGTCCAGAAACCAATCCCTGGAACCTATGAATTTGTGGCCTTATATGGAAAATGGGGCTCTGCAGATGAGATTAAGTATATGAACCTTGGGGAGAGGACAAATGATCCTGGATTATCCTGGTGGAACCTATCAAACCCCATGGATCTTTAAAAGTGAGTTCTTCAGTCTGTCGGAGGGGTGTGGGTACAAAGGCTTGAAGAGATGCGGCCCAGTGCTGAATGTATAAAAAAGTCTCTTATTGATGAATAAGCTTATTGCTTAGAAATAATATAAAGAGAATTCAGCACTCTTTGAATTCCTTCAGTCTTTGTCATTGGAGGAGAAAATTCACCTGCAAAATCTCAACTCCACAGAAGTCTTATAGAAGTCTCTCCTTGAATTTTCCGATGAGTGTCACGTGTGAAGTGACTCTTTTCCTAAGAAAAAAACACTTGACCTTATCTCTGCTTTCCCACCATTTGTCTTTTCCCTGTCCTCCCAATATCCTCACCAAATGAGCAAAAAGGTAGTTCAGATACACACACAGAGTCCACCAAACATAAAGAAAAATATGTATAAATATTTTAATGATAAATTTATTGAGATGTCATGAGATTCATACAAGTCGCTTCCGGCCTGTACAATTGCAAGAGGTGCTCAAAGTGGCCCTTAGCTTCCAGACATTTATTTGTATGGCAAACTGCTGAAGTATGTATCACCAAGACTGTCTTCAGGATAAAATGTCATTTTTTTCACACTGACTCACATTTAGAAGAATATGTCACATTTTTTCTTTTCTTTTGGTACCAGGGATAGAACTCGGGACCTTGCACTTGCAAAGCAGACGGTGGAACCACTGAGCTAAATCTCAGGCCGCATTTAGAAGAATATGGATGAAATATGATTTCCTCTTGTCTAAACCAGAAATCCCATTATAACATTGAGACAGGTAATATTTTTGGTAAGATGAAGAGATAGTTAATATCACTCAGAAATTGTTCTAAAATCACAATTCTCCAATACCTATCCATTCAGAGCCAATTAAGATATTGTTGGGTTGAGCCAATCATGTAAACCTACTTTTCTGTTAAGCTTTCAAGAAAACATAATCTAAGTAATAATTTAATAACCTAAAGCTGTAACAAATTAAATAGAGAAAAAGCACTGTGTTGTCCCTCCTTACCTGATACTTTTCTCTTTTCTATATTAAATATATAGCATAATAAAAATAAAATAAGACTGAAGATGATGGGAAACATTTTTAAAAGAATGATATATGTACTTAAAGGATTAGTAGAATGTACTCTTTATTGCAGCTGATGTTATCATTATTATTATCATTATTATTATCATCAGTTAATTCAGATGAGTCAGGAATAGTTTCCAAACCAACATGGCAGACTAGACACATGCATCTACCTCTCTTCTTCATAAGACCCATTTGAAATGATAGAAAAGGCATCTCCGGTAAAGGTATTCTCAGGGGACTAGGAATTCCAAGACGATAGAATTTAGGGTATATTTGAAGATGAAATCACAGTAGAGAAAACCATGACCCAGTCCATGAGAGATGTACTGGTTTTTCACAAGGAAAACCTGCAAGGGTTTCAACGATGTAGCCAACCAACATGAAGAACAGGAGTAAGCCATGGGGCAATTTTAGGAATAATAAAATAATTGCATTTATAAGAGCTGGGGCAGTTGGATCATCCCCCTCACCTGTATCTGTATACAAACTATCTGGAAGTAGTGACATTGCTCCCAAGATAAAATTCTTTGACCTGTTAAGTGTGGGCATTAGAGTCTGAAATTAAAAGCTAGGGGAATGAAGTAACTTGGGCCAAAAAGTGAGAAAAGCTGAAAAGTAACTGAGAGAAAACACAGTAGACATTGGACCTGTTCCCTTAAATGATACACTGTTTAGTGCCACAGAGTTACCCCATGTGCAAGGCAAGGCTGCTAGGATATATATACACATCTGGGTAAATTCCTGGTTGAGGGCTGCTCCTGCAGGCTGCGGTAAAAGAGAGGCATCAAGCAAACGAACACAGGCTGTTGTCCTGTTGTTCAGGTGGGCATGCAATTAAGGTAGGGAGAATACATGAGGGGCACCGACAGCATTAGCTAGAAGCTGCAGCAAAAGGCACGTGAGGTCAACGGATGACCCAGGCTCCTGGTACAGATGGGCCTGAGCTTCAGACTCCATTATATCTCTCTCACTAATTAGCTACTAACCTTGGAAAGTGCTTTATCTCTTTGAACCGACTTTCTTCATCTAAAAAAAAAAAAATGAAGCTAAGCATACCCAACCCCAATTCTTACCAGGAACAATAAATCCAACGCTACATCTGAGGGGGTGTAACACAGTTTTCCTTAATGAAAACCAGTTATGTCACAGCTCTTACTGTTACCATATTCTCCTCTTCCTGCCTTCACGTTGCTGCCTCTATGTGTTGCACACACACCATCCTTTTAAATTCAATTCATCTGGGAGACCCCCAAATCCGTGTTTTCTCCTATCCCTTGTTTGGCCTTCAACCAGGAGTCCTGCCTCCCATAAAGCCTCAGCACTAAAATCATATCAAGGCTGTCTGCATTTGAAAGTGAAAAGAAGAAAAAAAATCACAAATAATAGAGATCTTGAAAACAACAACAACTACACAGAGAAGTAAGAGTCTGTTGTACCATGCCTTTTAATTTTAAGGCTCCAGAAAGTGTGGACGAAAAGCAATCAGTGGCTTTCCTTCTTACCCTGGCTTTGACACTTATTAGATGGGATGATCCCCGTGAATCCTCTAATCTCTCTTCTATAAATCAGTGCTAAACACGCCTGGCCTACCCCATCTCACAAAGTAGGAACAGTTCATCTGAATGTCACCTAACTAGAGGGCATGAACTCTACAGCTCTGGTCTAAATTAAAATCTTGCTGTTAGTAACTGGGTCTAAAGCATTCACTGGTCCATAGGTTCATTAGCTTCTACGTCTGATCACTTAACAGAATAAAATATTTACAGCAAATATTCTATCATTGAAATAATGAAAACATAACTACGGTGAATCAGTTTGATTGCCTCCCATTAAGAAACTACTGATGTTGGTTCTTAAATTTAGCTGTCTTATAATACGCAGGGGCACTGCACCTTTACTATAGATCAGTAATCTATGGCTGCCTTTTAAACTACACTGGTGAGTTGATCTCTAGTGAACTGTTTGAGGATTGAGAGGAAAATATGTCCTTCGAAAAATAAAATCAGTGTTACTGTTTAGAAAAATAAGAAAACATCCACTTATCTTTTGAATAAATTTGGGTTTCCATGGATTATCTTCCTTAAGGCATGAGAACAAATGACAGCTCTGTCACAGTGCTCATGATAAATTCCATTTTACATGGGGTACAGTCTTCGAACATATACGACTCTAAGAACCTTACAGAGACATCTTATTTCACTGTTATGATTCTGCCTATCCAATGTGTTGTTCTCACACTGGAACAATGACCTCAGCAGACAAGAGCTCTTAAGAATATTTTGCGTTTATCATTACTCTGTCACTTGGGTTCCCTAGCATTGTCTCTTGGTCACTGTTGTATTTGGCATAGGAAAATATAAAGTATTCCAGAGGCTACAGTCAACTGGAACTCTTCAAAGATGACAAAGAGGAATCTTCAAACAGATTCGGTTTCCAAGAGCATGGAAGTCTAGGAATTCGTGCCAGAAATAAAAATATGTGCCATCAGATTTAACAAATAAAATCCTTTAACAAGTAGCAATATTTATTTCTTCAGCTCTTAAGAATTACAACAGAAACACATCAATTCATTTGCCTAGTGTTTAGTGGCTTGAACTATCCAAAACAAAATTTTAAACTCAGAAGGAACCCTAAAGCTTTCTCATGAACTTGTTCAAGATAAGAAAATTCTGAGACCCACCCCCCGGCCAGTTGATGAGATTGATACTGTGCTGATAACAATGGTTACTTAATGAATTTAACGATCTGGTTTCCAGTGGCAGCTTTAAATTCTGCCCTCAGTTAGAGAGAAGCAGAAATCTAGGAGCTGGGTTAGAGGACTATGACGACTGAGGGAAAAGAAGAACGGCTAGAATGGTTTGGGACTAGGCAAACATTCTTGCACAGGCTCTCTTGAGACCTCTGTATCTATCACAGGAGAGTTTAACAAACACAGTGGACCCTCAGATGCACTGAGGAAAAGGCGTTACCTTCTGAGGCCTCTGGGGTCAGAAATCTGGTGGCTCATGGCTCCTGGCTCCTGGCATGGCACTTACACAGAGCGAATTCACTCCTACAGTCTGCAGGGCGCAGACACCTAGCTGGTCCCCAGAATGCGGGTCTCTCAAAGACCAGAAGTATCTGCCTTCATCTTGGCTGCAGTCAGCCCTGGGCTGGACATACAGTTCACATTTCATAAATAGGCACTTCATACACCTTTACATCTTATGACAATAATTCTGGGGAAAGGAAAGCCAACTTAGAGGGTAGAACTTCAATTATCAGGAAAATGCTCATATCCATTTTCTACCTCCTTAGTGGTACCTGATCATCGGAGGATCATTCTAGTCTAAATTCACCAGTCATGCTCCTATCCCTAAATTCTCAGCCTGCAATGTAGATTGGCCTTTATTTCACCTAGCAGAGATCTAGCACCATGCACAGAAATGATATGTGGCCTGGTTATATATCTGGGTTTAATAAAATATTTCAGTATATATTCTGCCATCAGTATAGTAAAAACATAACTAAGATGTATCAATTTGGGAAAAGTTTTCAATTAGCAATAATCGCGCCTCGGACAAACCTCATTGGCTACGATACTGCCACTGCGCAAATCTTAGATGTATCAGTTTGATTCCTTCACATTAAGAAATTGGTTCCGCTGGTTGCTTCACAAGCACAAGAACCCGAGTTCGATCCACATAAAAAAAAAAAAAAAAAAAAAAAAGAAGAAGAAAAAGAAGAAGAAATTATTGACGCTTTTCCCTAAACTTGGCTGATTTTAAAAATTATGGTTTCTGAGCATACCCATTAATCTAGATCTCAGCAGAAGGCAAGAAATTTGTCTGCCACCCTGGATGATTTTAATGCAGCCAACTTTATGCAGAATGCTCTAAGAATACTTTTTTCCTAACCATTATATGGTGCACAGTAGGTAAGTTAAAAAAAAAAACTATGTTTTACAAAAAGTTTAACCTTCTGAAGTCAAATGAGTCAATCAGGGACTCAGTCAGGGGATGTCATTTTTTTTAGTTTTCCATTTTTTTAAATGTTCTGGCAATACTGTTTAAGAAATGTGCCCCAGAATAGAGTGGAATTTCTGTACAAACTAACTGAACACAGAAATTTTTGTCTGGCATTTTTATTTTAAACAATGCATTTTTGCCTATAACCTGTTCTCCACATGAGCAATTTTTGAAGATAAACCCAGATAAAAATATTCCACCAGATCCCCCAAACACATCAACAGAAAACTGCACAGAAAGAGAGGATGAGTTATGTGGGAGCTGTATGTAAATTAGAAACTCTATATAATTTGCAATTTAATACTATATGGCTTTATTCTCCCCAAAAGAGGTTCTACTAAACTCAATTTTGAGTTTAATTTTAGATAATCAAACTCCAAACCAAATCTGTATAGATATTGGCATTTTTTGAGCTTGGACCCAGTCTCCAGCACTTCCCTACTTAAGTAGAGAAAACAAGAGAAAAAGGGCCTTCCTAGATTTGCAGCTGGGCGTGGTTCCTGACTTCATAATTGCGCTGATTTCCCTATGAGTCACACTTGTTCCTAGTATACGCCAGACTTTCCCCTTTTGGATGCCTGAAGAGAAACCTCTATTTGACAATGGAAGACTGGAAAGTGATGAGGAAATCATACAAGTGTGTCCAGCTCAATCACACACAGAAGTTTACAGAAGATAATTGAGTGTGCAAGAAAGGCCTTAGGGGCTGAGTGCTTGTGAAAACACATACTCCTGGGCCCCACTCCAGAGTTTCATTTTTACTAAGGCTGGGATGGGGGCCTGTGATTCAACATTTCTAACAAGCCCCTAAACAATATGATATTTGCTGCTTCATGCACCACATTTGGAAGAACACTGCTTTGGAGCAGGGCTTCTCAGTCTCGGCATAATTGACACTTAGAGCCCAGTAATTCTTTGTTGTGGAGCTGTGCGGCGCATTACAGGTTGTTCAGCAGCATTCCTGTTCCCTATCCGCTAGATGCTGATTGCATCTTTCCAGTTTGCCCTCCAAAAGCACCCCCACTGCTAGCCACTGGCTAAGAGCAGGGGCTGTGAGTAAGAGACCTAAGCTGAAATCCACCCAAACCATTTTACTACCCATGTGATTCAGGGAGGCAGCATACGTGTGGTTAAGCAACAGTGTGACTGTGCCTCACCAAGCTATTGTAAGCACTGGTTAAATGAAGATGTATTTGATCATGTGTCGTGGAGCCTAGCCCCAAGTCAGTACTTGATAAGAGTCCATGACTGTTGGGTCAAAAAGACAGCCTCTGTGTGAGCCAATAGCCTCCAAACTCTGTTTATCATAGGAGGGTAAGTTTTTGTCTGTTGAGTTGGAGAAGTTAGAGAATGTACATTATATTTACGATTCTAGTCTTTATTCAACTCAGAGGTAATAACTGTAAAATAAACCCAACATCCATTTCTATGGTCTCAAGGATGAAAACCTAGTTCCATGACTAATATGCTAAACATATTGTTATCATCCTGAACAAGTCTTGATTTAAGATATAGATGTGTTTCTCAATTTGTCTCCAAAGAAACATATTATGCCAGTTGGTGAAATCTACTTCAATCTAAGGACAGTAGGAGATAAGAGTAAATTATTTTTCAGAGAAACAGAGAAATTTCTCAAGAAACTGGCTAAAACGTTAAGGCAGCACGTATCCCAAATTTTATCAATACCCTCCCAGCAGGGGCACCATTGCTAGTTTTTCCTTTCACCACCAGGGGGAGAACAGAACTTTCTCACAGTCACAAGCTTTTGTCAGATGTGCATTACAGAGGTCGGCCCGCCAGAGTTGAACAAACCTTTTAGTTACCTCCTAATAGGATAAAAATATCTGCTGGCATGATTTCAGGAAAAAAGGCTGTACGAGTCGCTTCTGTATACAAGGTTCTTCTAAGATTTTTTTTTTTTTATTCCAAACACTACAGCAACAACTATTTTTGATCCTGGAAGACAAGAGACGACAAACTGTGTCTTGGCATTCTTTCTTTACATTTAAGATGGAGTATTAGGATAAAACAAGTAAAACTTAATGTTATATAAAAGAAACATATGAAATTTAAAGGCAATGAAAATACATGGCCAGTGACCAATAGATTTCTCATGAGAAAGAGGATAGAAAAGAGTGAAATGAGAGAGGAATGTTGTCTCCCTTTATCTCCCTCAAACCAAGTATTGAAATGTAACAATGATAATAGAAAGTTGGTAATGATAGTGGAAGTAAAGATACTGTTGTATTTGGTTGGGGTATTTATAGTAATGATAATGATAATGGAAATTTAAGCTTAATCAAAGTCGGCCATCATAAAATAGATCTTAGGCTAGGTAGTTTACATTAGTGAACTACCTTAACCATAGAAGGAAAGTATGAAGCTTTTTAAAAATTTGAAAATTATAAATATTAAAATTAATTAAAATATTAAAGTTAGAGGCAGTTTAGGCAGCCTCATCATTCTCAAAAGGTATCCAAAGTCCCCAAAGCCAAAGATAAATAAGTACATAGATACAAAAGTTATTGTTAACCAAATATTAACTTAATGAATATTATATAAGGAATGCTTTTATGTTCAGATAACATTCCATAAAGGTGTACTTGTGAATGCTGGCTTTTCACCTGATGAGCTCCTGGCTCATTTTCATTGATGTCCAGATAAAATAAGGAAAGAATATACATACTATGTGGATTATACCATATACTCAGAATTTTCTTATTATAATTCACAGTAATTTTTTCTATAGTTGCAATGTTTTACAATGAGCACATGCTATAGGTAAAACCAAAACCAATACAGCTTTGTCATCTTAGAACAAAAGATGCAGCTTCCTAGGATATATCCAGGACAGATATCATCTACATTTCTGAGTCTGAACTATGGTGTGTTCATTTATGAAACTATTTCTTAAATCACTAGAGAGTCTCTGAAATTTTATCTAATCAAGTTAAAATGAGACTGACAAAAATAATAAAAATTAAAATATGACTCTGATAGAAAGTAAAAAAATAATAAGGCCCAAGCAGCTTATACTGAAATCAAATTTCACTGGCATTTATGTGTCTGTTAGAAATGTATCTAAATGAAGAGGTGGAATGGGATCTCTAATTACATTAACAACAATAATTATTTTTGGGAGTCTCGATACGTAAGCTCCACATTTTTCATTAGATATTCTATTTCCTCTTGACCAAAATCACTCTGAGGCTGAAGCCAAATCCTGTACTGCCTAAATGACACCAATCAGACAGGCATTTACTAGAACATTCCAAAATCAATAAGGCATGTATTCTTAAGAACCTTTTTTTTTTGGAGGGGGCTATCATTAGGCCAGCAAATGAAGGAATTGTGAAGAACCAGAATTAGGAGCTCCATGAAGAAACATCATACTTCACGCTTCCTAGTGGAGAAAAATCTAGAAACTCTCAAAGGGATTTTAGTCCTGATCTGAAGAGATTTGTCAAAACTCAGCATTCCAGCAGAGGGAAATTCTTTGAATAATAAAAGTTTGCCTAATGGCTTCCCAAAGTGAATTCTATAATTAAGACTTAGGTCTAAAATCAAATGAAGAAAACTGTAAAGAGGACTGTCCACTTAGATATCTCACCTTATTTTCCATCACCTTCCCCCACAAAACGACCCAGGGTGGATACAAAAGTCATTAAAACAATGTTTACATAGGCATTATGTTTTAGCCCTGGCCTATGGTCCTTGTGAATAATGGCCATCCCGCTGAGATCCCCATTTCTGACTCTCATCTAGAATTTGCAAGCTTACGTGCAAATTATCCACCTGTGTAATGACTGAGAGGGTGGTTTTGCTCACATAGCTCCATTTTTCTTAAAATCCTGACAAACTAACTACTTCCTGTTATTTCAGAGAAAAACTCTTTTCATTTAGTGTATAAAACTCAGTTGGCTGTGGCTCATGAAGAATAGCCAAAGGTGTAAGGACACTTCAGAAATTATAGAGTGGGGAATAGAGAAATTATCAAACTCTAAAAGGAAATACAGTTTGAACCTAGAAGAAAACAGGGCATTTCCTCTTGCATCTAAACATGAACTAGAAAATATATAAACCTATTCACATAATTTTACTGATTCACAGTTGATATTTAGAAAGACAGTAAAGAAGTAATGGAACTTTGAATGCTTGAAAAGATTAAAAAACATGTTAAACTATATATAAATTGAAAAGGTTGAAAACTTTTCATAGAAGGGACAATGAAATGCATAAAAACTACATCACAGAATTAAAAATTTCTGTCTCGGACAAGACTATAGGTCCAAGAGCCACCTAAGACCAGTACTCATATAAAATAATCTGATATTCCCCACCCCGACTACAACTAAAATTTTGGTCTCTAAGTTAAATTTTCTCCACTAAATAGAATCAAGAATCCTTGGAGAGTAGTACATATCATGTCTTGTGATAGGAAAAATGATGCTGGGTATGAAGGAAGCATATATATATATATATATATATATATAT